CAATTTGTCACACGTTGAATGAAGAGACGAATCATGTAATTGGTTCGCCTAATAATGAGAACAATTGTTCAATATCCAGTGTGATGCACGAATAGATCATCGTATGATATCCAGTGTTTGTGTGTTGATCAAAATCAGTAGACCGAATGAAGTTTCACTTCATTATTGGAGTAATACAGAAAACCTCCCTTTTTTATGCTGTTACAGATGACAAAAATGCACATGTTCGACAAATTAAGGGCTATGGGCAGGTAAAAAGCATCCCATTTCATGAATATTACTAATTACTAAAAATTCGTAGTTATTTAAAGTGACAATATTTTGTGCATATTAATCTCTTAGGTTTCACCACGGCTATAAGACTTCAGCAGCACTGTTTTGTATACAGTCCATTTGAAACACATACGAATGTCTTACTAAATATTTCACGCACCACATTAGAAACCAAAGGACCACTTTCACACCTTCAGGTACAGTGAAGTGCAAAAAGCAGAACCTGTTACAAGTTAAAATACGAAACTCTAGTTGAACAAATTAATATAATTCTAAGAAGAAATATTTCATGAACTAAAAAGATATTCATGCACAAATGTACACGGCCTACTGTGAATACACAAGGCCAGTTCGCTTAATGAAAAGAATCAGTTGACTTCACATTGCGTGGTATACCCTATGTTTCATTTATAACAGTTACGATTAGTACAAATGTCTACTTCATATCATCTGTATAATATTCGCCTGCACAACATACGATCCGAAATGCTAACATTGATGTCAGTGCTTCTATGTGATCCAGAGACTTGGTACACGACTCGGCTAAAACACTTCCAATAAGCTACAGACTTTTATCAGCAGCTACCTTCACCTTCCATCCATAACGAAGATTAGATAACCAGAAAGGATAAGCAACAAAGATATTTGAGAACCAACCAACCAAACAAAAAATCTATTGCCCAACAAATACGTAATTGAAATTAACTGGACATATACTGAATGAGGTCGCTGACTGACGTTGTACGCAGCAGAACCCGTCTAGGAACTGGGAGATCGACGGAAGTAAAGAGATCATGTAAAGAAGAGATGAAAACCACTTAAGATGGCAAAGAAAACAGGGAAACAGAGAGGTGTTGCTAAAGCACTAGTTTCCATTGGGAGCACCCAACGGAATAGCAATAATAAATATAGGTGAATTGATGGGCGCGAAAAATCTGCACATTCTTGCAGCTAACACGCTGATCTCACAAAATTGTGATGCTGAAACCGGTGTTATGCTGTCTTAAATAGTATGCTGCTTTTTTTAATTCTTCGAATATAGTTAAAGAAAATTTCGATACTGTTTTTTTCCTTCACGTTCCCCAGTGGATCATAGGGCTTCAAGCTAGTGGCTTGAAGTTTCTGTAGCAGTGGTGATTAATTTTAAAGGATGGGGTTGCTAGCCTCATGCCCGACCTTTCCTCTTTACCAGAATTATTTCTGGCTTAGTGAGGTAAAGGAGTGGGTCGGCCGGGGATCGGACCCCAGACCATGTGCATGGTTGGCGAGCGTCCTAACCTCTATGCCACCGACGTTTTAGGCTACTTTTGTGGAGTACGTAACAATGTGATTGTACACTTTTTGGTTACTTGTAGAAATTAGAGATATTGTACATAATTTTTGTTTAAAACGCTTCTTGTTGAAATATACTTAACTTCCGTACACAATTGAAAATACACTTTGCTGTTGGAGACTTCGCCTTCTCCCTGGTTATTTCTGCTTACTTGCTCAACTCACACCGTGTTGTATACTTCGGATTTATTGTAGGAGTCTACTACTCTCAACCGAAGACGTTTCTACAACCAGAACACAGCAGACGCAACCCAAACAATTAACGTACCCGTGGGTTATATAAATAATTTGTAGCAGAGGACTTAGACTTTATATCCAAGTAATCCTTTTTGTTGATACAACTCGTCACTGCATTTTTGGTAATATATTGTTATTTAATATTTGATTGACTTGGATTATATTTCTCCTATTTGTAATATTAGTGAACGCTAATATTAGTTCCCTACACTTTTACTTTCGTATCAATAGAAATGGAGAATTTGCCACACTTTGATAAGTGGGGCACATATAAGAGATTACAATACTTCAGTAACGATAGATGTCTTTTCTAAAAGCCTAACAAATATCCAGATCGCAGAAATCTCGACATATCGCTGGTTTCAGATGAATAAGTTTAATACGTAGAACACTATGCACTGTAACCAACGCACAACAACAGAAAACAGTTGGGCGACACGATTATTTATTCTTCAAGCGACAACGAAACGGATTTACAGTGGTTAATTAATGCCTAATTCTGATCGCACTTCTTCAATTTCCTGCCAACCAGTACACGATTTATCAATGACAGCCTTCTTGTCACCCACCAATGGAGACCATTTCGAATAAACAAACTATTCAATGTTCGCCAACATTGACAACTACTTTATTGACTATCTAAGGATAACAGAATATGAATGCGAATTGTCAGTGACTCTGAAATTATACCTGATCTAGAGTTCATTACAGGAATAAACAGTGGAAAAAAAAGAACTTCAGATACGTATATGTGTCTACGATAAATGTAATTTTGAAAAAAAGAAATAAAAAGTCGAAATACTTTTGTAACAGGCAAATAAACAGCTTCATGATTTATTCATTCCTTATCATCCAGACTCGCTAATCTTCATTTAGTTATTCTTTCTCCCTTATTTTCTGCAATAAGTGTAGTTTTCCTGAACTTCTTTTGGTTAATTATTTTACTCCTTGACGTTTTGAGTGGAACATAAAACGTCAAGATAGACCTCTGAAGCTTCGGTAGCTGTGGTGTTTATTTTTACGGGATGGGGTTACCCGGCCTTCCCTCTTTACCAGTCTTATTTACTGACTTAGTGAGGTTTAGGAGTGCGTCGGCCAAGGATCGAATCCCAGACCCCATCCGTGTTCGGCGAGCGTTCTACCACTATCCAAAACAAGAGCAAACGCAACTTTGGCACTTATGTGCCAAAGTGTCAAACAAAACTTATGCATACAGAAACAGAGTGTAATAAATCTCTAACGCCCTTGGTAACTACATTTTGATTACATTGATTACTGATCCATATCAGTGATTTCAACTAACTAAGCAAGTTTTCATTGTTATGAACAATAACCTACTTGCACTTTTAACGGCATCAGGTAAATCAGTAGTGTTTTCTAAACAGTGGATGGTCGAAATTTGCGTTGTACGAAATAATTGGTTTCTTTGAGTTGAGTCCTACTGAATGAGTGAGTATACTTCTAATCAGCTCAACCCCAAAAAAGAACGAAGTGACAGTTGCACGTTTTTACATCACCTTGATTCAACCAGCAAACGGTATTAGATCAATACGGTCTACCCTGGAATTCATCATGGTAGAATTAATTCACGTTAAAAATTTCACCTTGTGAAAAAAACCATTTTGCGGAATAATTGTTTAAAAAGAGGAAGGAAAACTGAAAGCATGAATAAAAACATCAAATATGAATTTATGAGATAATGGTGATCTGAAACAATATCAACTAAGTACAGTATGTATAAATTGTATGAAAATATGAAGAGAAACAAAACTGAGAAAGAAACACAGAGAAGCATGAGAAACATAACAATAAAGCAAACACAGACAAAATAGAAGGCAGGATATAATAATAGAGATGTAGAAAAAGAAGGGAGAAAGAATAAATAAGAAATTTAAGCATTCCATCTGCTTTTATATCCATTCTCATCCTCACTCTCAGTATTTCTTCCCTAACCAGAGCTTACACACACGATAGCAGACAGTATAGTTTCACAACCTGCAAGTTTAAACTCTAGTTCATTATGTTCACTGACTTAAGAATTTCGTCAAAGTTAGTCGAATTTAAAGTGAAGAGAACCCCACCCACGTCCTTTCTTTGACTGACTGGTTCAACGTAAAACTTCGCACGATTTTTAGCCATACCACCAATTGCCTCCAGCCATTGGTTTTCACCATCCCGAGGATTCTGGGACTGATGAAGTCATGTTTTGGTTTTACCACCACTAACTAACTAACTAACACACTCTTTCCCGACCTGATCCATCCTATGTCAGCTAACATCGCCCATAGAGGAGATGATGGATGGCTACGCATGCGTAACACATGTCCTAAGCATCTCAGTCGATGCATCTGCTTCACAACCTCGTCGATTGATTTCCCCTTCTTGTCTAACACTCGACCACCGATGCCTCACCTTAATATTGCTCACTCTGTTATACCACCTAACACGAGAGATAGAATGCAGGTCTGACAGTTATTTAAATTTGTTGATACTAAGGTAAGTGAAACAAACAAATGAACAACTTTGTCTACATGTGTTAACACGGATATGTCAGGGAAGCCGGCTAACAGGGGTCATTACAGACTGCTTGTTGTGAAGGATGTGTTAGGTGGACGTCGGTTAGAAAATCACAACTTTCTGATAGAAGTCAATATAACACTGAGTTTAGATAGAGACTAGTGATCATGACAAAAATATTATTACCTGCATACAGCAATTTTATGAAATGAAAACTCCTACAGCACAAAGAAAAGGCATTAACAATATTTATGACAATGTATTTCTCCTAAAGTACAATATACAAAAAGGAAAGTGAGGTTCTAATTCAATACATATAAACTTGTATTGGCAAAGCATTATGAATGAGTAATAAACATAAAACTTGAAGAGGTATTGTAGTATATTTACTCTGCGACTGTATCAAACTTCCAAGAAGTTTTCAATTTTTGGGATTCATTATCCGATGGCCAATCTGGGCTGCTGTCTGGACCTAGAACAACACGACCAACTGTGCAAGAATTTGAAGGATCTGATAATTTGTGTACAATTTGTTCAGCAATATTCTTTACTTTCACTGCATCCACAGAGAAAACTTCACGTCGGTGTGACTGTCGTAGTTGATCGCTGATTCCATACAAAAAGTAATTGAGACCACGCGAACCAGCGGAAACAGGATAATCCAACTGAACAGCAGTATGAAAATGTGTTCAGATGAAGGTATTAATGAATAAAAGCTAGCAGAATAAATATACCTTAGTATTTGTAGTCGGTTAATTACAGACAGTAAAAAACGAAAATTGACCACAAAATTCTATTAGAGAAATAACAGTAAAGTGGGACAGCGACGGTCATTTCTACCCATGTTTACTCATATAACAAAGGGCTATCCCACTGAGAAACTACATTCAAGGAATGAAAATGCAAATTACTTCAAAAAACCATGAACGGAAAAAGCTCTGTCTAATTGGGACAGAATCCTACATTGCACTGTAGAATATAACTGCATCATTACGTCGGTTGGAATAGAATCAATTAATTTAGACATGAGTCAGCACCAGACATTGAGTACAATAGGATTTTAATATCCAACTTAATTGATGAGAAAAAACACAAAAATTCACTAAACAAGAAAAACCGAACCATAATGTATCTAAAAATGTCCATATAAATTCTTATTCAAGCTAGCCCTATTTGTTGTGTAGCTAGCCTACCAGATTAACGTTCACAATTGCATAGACTGAATTAAAAATTTAGCCACATAGCTCAACCTATCACGAAAAAGAGGAACTCTTTGTTTTCACATCATTCAATTTCGGTAGTAAAATAGCAAGAAGTGAACTGATGCACAGCACACATCCTTCGATAGATAACTTGATACTAAGTCTTTGTCGAAGATGACGAATGCAGACAAATACAAAATGCACTTTTGTATCATTACAGCGGGTGGATCAGCGAGGAGTAAGTCAAGATCGATGCAACTTCTGAAATAAGTCAAGTCGACAAAACTTAAAACCGCGATTTCGTAGAAACTAGTCCTATAGTATAAATTACATTTCACAGCAAGGAATTACATACGGAACATACTGCGTACTTTGCTCTACCTTTCGTCAATAGCTTCAAAGCGAAGTCAATCTCCTAACCATGGCAGCCTATCATCGTTACATCCACTGGTATATTTACCGAGTGGAATTAAATAAGAACAGAAACAGTGGGTATTTCTGACAGGTACAAATTGTTATCGTAGCATCACATAAAACCATCCGTGGACACGTGGACAGAAAAATGAATTAGACCGTGGTGCCATGATTAGCACAATACTCTATCATTTCTACAATTCCGTCGAAACCTACATAATATCGGATTTCGTCTGAACTCTCACGGTGTTTGAGTACTTCCTCCAGACAACAGATCTTCACCACAACCAGTCTGTACATCTTCAGAATATCATTGACGTCAAAGTTAATGAAAAAAAAATTACGAAACTGTGAAATCCTGCATATACAAATGAGTTTGTTTTTAATTAATCATTCGTTTACTATAATAAGCAATTTTCTCATCTATTATCGTGCCTATTAGGTGGGTAGTACATTGGGTTCAGTACACACACAGTGATGGGACTGGGGGTTAAGGACAATAAGAGGAGCGCTAACATTCATATCTTGTAAACACGCACAGGCAGGATTGTCGAATCATTAGACAATCAAATCATCTCAAGTGAAAAGTCCATGTTTGACAAATTCTCATGACGAAAAAGCACTATCCTATTCAACACTAGAGCATCAATCCGTATCTACATTAATTCGCAATAATAAACAGCTGTTACTTAAAATTCATTTCTTCAGTGATCTAAACTTTATTCTCATCCAGTTACTAATTGCAGTATAAGCTCACTCAAAACAGAAATTCATATAGAAGCATTTTCAGACGATTAGAAAAACAGACAAAACTAAACTTTGAACAAAAAAATACTGGTGATTACATAAATTTAGTAAAATACAAAGAATTTCTTTAAAATGTTTGCTGTGTCTTAATTCTGGAAACATACAAATTAACAATGACGACTGCTATGATTCAGTGTCATCACTGCATGATAGTCTTACATACAAATGAACGAAATATTCCTATACTGAATCATAAACAAAAGACGTAAACAGCGAAAAAAATTTTCTTTTCGACGATTCATTTTCAGAAGGTAAGAAAAAGAAGTAAAATTATAGTAAGAACTTTACCCTGACCACGGTAGGGCGAGTGAATGTGTATATAGCTTTTGAATGCAGAGGTCCGGTTTCAGATCCCGAATAGCTAAGGCTTCAACTTTGTTCAGATGGCGTATGCAAAGTCCCTTTGTACGATATTGAAGGACTCTCTGCAGCACTGTGAAAAATCATGCAAGTGTGGGTGCTCTGCTCGATGTCCAAAGATGACACGGTGTTGGAGGATGGACCTGCTACTGTCCTTTCTTTCTCCTCTGACTAGCTAGCTAACCAAGCCGGAGAGTGTTCCAGAATACGTCTGTGGACTTGACGTTGCGTACGGCCGATTTACTTTGCTCCACACGAGCACGTAAACAGATAAATACACACTGAAGTGACCAAAAGCGGTATCTTATCCTTAACGTAAGACTGGATTAACTGTCTGCTGGAGAATGTGATACGTAAGGTGGCTGCTTGAAATGCCTTCTTTAGACATTAAGATAGGCGACTTCTAAGAATTTTTGCTGCGATGTCACCTTTGAATTCCAGGTTCATGAAGAGAGTTTTCTTGGGAACAGTTGTGATTCTTGACGACGGGGCTTCTCTTCCATGTTTTTGTCTAAGAATCTTGGTGGAAAATGAATCATCGAAAAGAGAATTTTCTTTACTGTTAACTTCTTTTTCTTATTAAATACAAATAACAGTTAAAGATAAAAAGTGACACTCATTAAAACCTTCACAAAAAACTAACAACTAACTTCTTGGAAAACTGCAAGTTTAGCTTCCTTGAGATCTTGTTGTTGAAATTCTTGAGATGCAGCCCAATGCAAAGCACTTTCAAAGCAATTCAAAGTTTTGTAAGCATGTGGATCCCTAACAAAGTACAAAATAACAAACAACAGAATAAACCAAGCTCCACAACGACCAAATCACAATCTTATTCCACGAAAAGTCTGTTGAGTTAAAAACAAACAATATGAGCAGAATAATCGCATGCTAATCCACTATTAATATAATGGATTTCCATGACTAAGATTGCCTGTTCTCCTACATCGATTTTTTCAGACATTCTACAACCTCAGAGGTACATGACAGCAGCAAATGTTTTTAATATAATAGGTGCTAACAAACTAATACCAAGCTGATTGCTATTCACATGATGTAGATCATTCCTAGAGGTCGATGGAAGCCACACACACTCTAGGATTACGGTAGTTTCTTGGTGTTCCTCAAACAATCTGCTAACTCCTCCAACCCGATTCCCTCGATTATCTTTAAAAAGTCCCAAGTGTAATCTCAAAGGAAAAGAAACGACTAAATGGACAAAAATTCGTTACTTACCGATAAGAGTAAAACAAAAAGGCCTCTGGCTTTGAAACAGCACCTGCCCCATATGCACCACCCTTTTCTCTGCAAAAAAAACGTGAGATATAATGGATTATTATTATTTTTTGAAAGAAGCTTTATCATGCATCTTTTGGCGTAATTCAGATCGGGAAAGCAAGTTCTGAGTGAACACTGTCAAACACAGACATCCCCTAAAGTAGAGCGAGTGCATTGAAATTCCTTTTCCTCAAGATAAGCACCCAACTAACTGGTTTTTTATTTCTATGTTTAACAATTGTGCTTTTTCGTTATTGAAAGGATTACATCCTGTTGTGTTTTTCTTTGGCAAATGAATTCACGCTTGTTTGTTTTAGAGATAATCAAAACAAAAAAAAATAAACAAACAACGACTAAAATAAACACCTAATGATGATATGACAGTTAATGTTAATAGTTAGAGTGTACGTATTGGTTGGCGGCATAGAGCTATAATTAACTAACCCCACGAACTAACTAACTAACTACATCATCATCGTTCCACCAATACAAATGATCGTTAAACACTGTAACTAGACCTCATCATCTGTACAGATATGCATATTATTACTCACTGTTCATTTTCTTATCATTATAATTTTTAAAATTAATTTGATTTCCGGATGGAACATAAGACTACAAACTTCAGTTTTGAAGTTTCAGTATCATTATTGTTCCCTTGGGTTCCTAGTGGAACATAGGGCTTCAACTGCACGTTTCCACTTGCTTCTGTCTTTTGCTGTACTTTTCACCTGCATCCATGTTGGTTCATACTGTTTCAACTCCTCTTCACACGATCTCCTCCATGTCACCCTTGCACTGACGTCCCACTCGTCGTTTCCCTTTCGGGTTCCACTCGAGCAATGGCCTGACGCGCGATGTCACTCAGAGGGTGTCCAATCCATCTCCACTTTCTCCTGTGCTGACGAAATCTCAGCACGGATACAGAGGGCTAGTTTCGCATGTGCCAGTTTACGCCGTCTGTGGCTTAGTAGACGTGATATCCGAATATCGACCAAAGGGTGGGTGTACTGCTCATCAGTCCGCTCCGTCCTCCTTAATGGTTGTGAAACCTGGCCACTGAGAGTGGAAGACATGAAAAGCGTGGCTAGCTGTCTTTGATCATAGGTGCCTCCGCTCTATTTCCCGTGTAAAGTGGCATAATAAGGTGAGCAATATTGAGGTTATGCTTCGGTCGAGTGCTAGGTAAGGAGGGGAAATCAATCGATGAGGTTATGAAGTTACATAGACTGAGATGGTTAGGACATGTGTTACGTATGACTAGTCATCGCCTTCCTCGACGAGCAATGTTAGCTGATATAGGGCCAGGCTGGAAAAGAGCTAGCGGCGGTCAAACCAAAACATGGCACCAGTCAATCGAATCTACAACAGTTAGTCTCAGTCACGTAGGAAGGTGACTGGCTTCCTGGTTGGGGTCCTCGGGACGATAAAACCAGTGGTTGGAAACATCATGCATTTATTCCCCTTGATGAATTTGAATAAAGCGATAACAACAGTTGTTTGTGCAGAATAAAATGGTACCATCATTTATTTCGTTGGCTTCTCATCAGCTGCTAACAGTCTAAATAAATTTTGAGGTTTAAGTACAGAAACATTTTAACATATTTGCAAATTTTTTACATGTCAATTGACAGAAAGTTCCACACTTAGTAAACAGTGCTCATAAAATTGCGCTTATATAGTTTTTACACAGGTAGTTCAAGTTAAAACAAAACAAATGTGTGGATATAATGGTAAGGGAGTTACATAATAAAGATGAGATGTGCGTTTGATGCATAGTGACTAATAAGTTAGGTAACAATGTACTGAGTTGAACTCAAATCATAGAAACAAGAGACAAGCAAAATCACAGATTATAAAGGAGGGTGAGGTTAAAGACAAAGATTACGTAATCAGATGAGAGATGCATAGTGACTAATAAGTTAGGTAACAATATACTGAGTTGAACTCAAATCATAGAAATGACGGACAAGCAAGATTACAGATTATAAAAGGAGGATGAGGTTAAAGACAAAGATTACGTAATCAGATGAGAGAAAAAAGACATCCAGTTGCCAAGGCAAGGAAAGACTAATAACTGATTCTTTCTGAACACACAAAACTGGTTTCAAGCGTTTGATAGAAATTGCTTCGGCAAACTTGAGGAGAATGGAGCTCCTTTGTCTATTGATAATTTTGAAGGATTTCTCGATTTCGACCTCATGACCCGTGTCGAGGAGATGTCTGGTAATAGCGCTGCTATAAGAGTTTGTTCCCTTGAGACGTAGGCTTTTCGGCACATGTTCAGAAAATCGAAGGTGTGCCCTTCTTTCTGTTCTCCCAATGTAACTGCTCCCGCAGATACACGTAAATTTGTATACACAGTTGGAGTTAACATGAGAAGGGTATCTATCGACTTTTGACTGCACCAAAGAGCATGTTGTTCGATGAACGGGAACCAACTTAGCTGCAGGATAGGCTCTGGCTAGTGACGTCCTCAGTCTTCTGTTGACCATTTCTGCAATGTCTTCCTTCACCTTTAAAATCTAGTTGAATGAAGACAGGCTTTTCTTCAACTGTGATTTGTTTGATATTTGAGCCTTCACATCTTCCATATTTGCTAATGAATCTTTGAGGATAGCCGTTGTGTTTCAGCATCTTTTCGAGATTCATAAATTCTTCCTCTAGTTTCTCTGCAGAGCATATTCTCCTCGCTCTACAGTACAGAGTCTTGACTAGTGCTCGTTTATAGCTATTTGGGCAATTGGTGACATGGCTCAAAACCGTTCTCAGTGGCGCAGATGCATCCACTCCTTGTGACTTATGATTTCCAATGAAACTGTTTAGCTTATATCCATCAATTAACATAATGAAACCTGTTCAACTAAAATTTCTAGAGGAGGTATTCTAGACATACTGATTATTTGTTTATACATTGATCGAATCAGCTAACCACAACGTACGCTAAAATATATGAAACTCGAACACTAGACCAATGTGAATTTCGCACCTGCTGGAGTGATTTGTGTAAAACTATGTCATATTAAAAAATCTTCTAAGATCACTGCTGCTGTGACGTGTGCTCCTGATAAGATTTATCAGTAGTATATCAAGAGACACTCATCGGTATAAAAATATCAGACAGCAGATAGATTTGAAGTCAAAGAGAGGACAAATGATTCAGCGTTGTGGTGAAACATGGGAGACACGAAAAGAAACACGATACCACGTGTAGAAGTAGCACAACACAAAAGATTTTTGCAAATGACAATTTGCAGATTAGGTGTGTACATAATTCGGACCATGTGCATGGTCGGCGAGCATCCTAACCTCTATACCACCGACGCACTATAATAGAGATACCAAACTCCAAATAAACATTCCTTTGCCAAGTTTCTTGTCTTCTACCAACCGTTACACTGCGGCTAAACACTTGAGTTACATGAACATGAAAATAAAGAGGTGGATATCAAGCAAAATATTTTTAAAAAAATTATTTATTCTACCTGATTTCTCTATGCAGATATTTAAATGACAGAAGATGGGATAATACACGGTAACTGAAGTAAAAGAAAAAACAAAAATAAAACAGATTTGTCAGTAGATGAATTGTTACTATCGTTACAGAATCTATACTGTTAAAAAAAACCTATAAAAAATAAGATTTTCATGTTTTCTCACCTTGCATAATCAACAGACTCATAACCTGGAGCTTTGATAGCCTGAGCAGTATAATGAACTGTATATGGCATTGTAAAATAAATATTCTCAGAAAGACTGGGGAAAATATCTTCATCATTTACAGTGTCTTCATCAGAAGAAACATTAGACTTTTCTAACGACTTTGGTAATTTGCTGCAGAAGTTCTCTAAGCATTTCAAACCATTTGCTAAGCTTTCAGGTTCACCATGAAGACTGAATCTAAATATTTCAGGAGAGACAGAGTACATACAAATGATAATTATAAAATAGGTGAATAAACAGTACACACATGTTAACTGAAAGATATGATATATGGACGTTACCGTTTTCAGAGACGCAGGGCTACTTATTCCCACCAACAACATGCACTTTAAAAAAAGGCATATAGTTAACGATAATAACACTGACAGGTCTTCAGGAAGTACAGTAACTTAACGATGCTACCAAAAGGACATACAGCGTACTGTAAACATAGATCTTTTTGTACCAACTATAAATAGAAAATCTAGTTGAAAAATACTAATGCGAACTGAGTCATATTCTTTAGTCCACTATTTAGCCAATGCAAAACTTTTGTTTGTTAAGTTTGCAATTAATCCTGAAATATAAGTTGAACAGATAATTATAATTTATAATAACCAAAAATGAAAAATATTGACTTCTAAAGCATACACACATGGTTCAAATGGCATGGTGTCAGACAAAATAACCTTAATATTGATTATCATCAACTCACAGGTCATCTAAAAATTGTTGTTACAAAATCACGAATACCTTAACGTATATGAAGATCATTAGATTTTCACGAAGTTTTAATCAGTTAAAACAATATAGCAGACATCTACTTTAAGACGCAAAGAAGAAACAGACACTAAACCAGAAGATGGCAAATAATACTAGTTACCCGTTGATTGTGAGCACTGCATAACACTGTTACATAACAACACCCTGAGCTACTGCACCCTCCAACAGTTAGTATTTATCGCTTTTCATTTTCACCAGTAAGCAGCACGGAAACAGAAACCGAGTATTGAATTAACTGTGTTCTCTGAGCTGGTTGATTTAAGTGTAGCGCTTTTGTCGTTCTTCTGGATAATATCTTCATAGCAGGTTTTAGTATAAAAACAAACCTCCGCTGAAGATGTTGTCTAGGAAGGACGACAAAAGCTTTGCAATTAAAGTAACCAGCTCAGAGAACACAGCTAATTTAATATACACCTGGGCTAAGAATCTTCTCCATTATTTCAGAAACGCAGTATACCTAAAAGATACTTAGCAAATTGTTAATCACAGTGCAGTAAGTGTTTTCAAATGATACACAAACTGAGATAATGCGTCAATTTACAGACAGACAAGAGATATGCTTCGTGTGTACTTATTTTTCATACCAAGAGAACTACAACTAAACAAAAAGGAAGCGGGGAGAGATTTCTCCAGTAGGCTTAGCTTTGTGAGAAGCAAAGAAATATTTCAGTAGAAAAGCAAGCTACAACATTGATTAGTTGATCTGTAAACCATTGAGACTTACTTAAGCCTTTCACGTGAAGCAATATGCTGCCAAATAGACTTCATAATTTCACTAATTCTCAAGGGAAAATTGTTTTCACCTTCATCTTTTCCATCAAGTTTACCAGCAATATGACGCATGATTTTAGCTTGCTCCATACCGGACCAAAACTCACGGGTAAGTAGAGTTGAAGAAAGACTAGCAGCTGCACGACACATAGCGAATCTGTGAGCTTTAAGGAAAAATTAGGAACAAATAAAATTATAAAAATATGAACATAAGTTGGCTGAGAATATGTGCCTTAATTATTCAGCATATTTCCTACCTAACAGTTAGAAAAATAATGGACAGAACGAGGACTAAGACGTATATAATTCTAACATGGTAATGCCAAGTAAGGTGAACTGTTCACCTCGTTTCTAGTTTAAGACTACTATGAAGAAATTTATTTAGATTAAATCTAACATGGTAACCTATTGTGACGAAGCATTCCTGGATAGTCAGCTTGCTTGCTTTCCTCTAGATTCAAGGGTTGAACTGGAATTGAAACAAGAAAATTCAGGTTCTTTACGTTTTAAGAATCCGAAGAATAGTAATTAACACTACTCTTGGTAATATCACCTACCTTGGTAATCTTTATGTCATTATATTATCAAGAGTATTGCTAATCACTATCCTTGTTATTCTCAACAATCCTATTATTTTATTTATTTTAATTGTCCCTATAAATTTACTGATTAACTACGGCTTTTTATTGTTGTACTGCTTTTTGACTGTTTTAAGTACCCGTTGCTAAGGTGATGTCATGTGGTAAATAGACTCGTCCTGTTTGTATGTCATCCATAAACTTATTATCAAGATAACATCTCAGGCAATTGCATAAATGCTCTGAGCAGTTTTACTGGGTTTGTGACGCACAAGTCGTTGATCGTAGCCAACTATTTTTGGAGCGGTATTGCGATATGGACGCTCCTGACTTCTATTTATTGCAGATGGATAACCTCAAAAGTGAACACCACTAATAGAAATAAAAAAAACAATCAACCCTAGAATTATAGACTTATCAACTGGAAAGGAAAAATACACAGAAATTTTGGTATAAAACATATTCAAGCAAAATATGATGAATACGATTCGCATAATGGTGCATAGCTGTATTCCAAGACAACCTATAGGGCAATAAAAACAACAGCAACATATCCCTAACAATAACTATAACAACAGTTAAAGCGGATTGAAGATTAAAAGAAAAATAGGAGAGATACACTTCAATGAACTGATGACTACAGTATTTTTGACTGAACATTCAGAAGTGAACAATGGAGGCAATAGGTTTTGTTTAAAAAAATCAAAAACAAAGTAACTTCTCATTGAGAAAATATTACGCTTTACCAGAATTTGATATTGCATTTGCAGACCATTCTCCTGCAGCAGACATTTGAATTAAGGTGGATAAACGATCATAATCCGACCAATCAGGAGAACAAAACAGCTTAGACCAAAGATCAAAGAAATCAGGCAATTTCGACTCAAGACAATAGCCAGATAAATGAATATGACGAGATGTTGGTATACAATTGACTTCAGAATAAGATATTTTTGGTGTGGCTAGAGCTGAAGCTGTCAGACCAGCTGTATGCAATTCTATAGCTTGATCCATTTCCAGATAACTCAACCCGTCTGCTCCTAATCTAAAATTTAAATCAAATTTTAAAGGATATTTTATTATATGATACTACACAAATTAATAGGAAGGTAAGGAAAAGCGCTAACTCTAAGAGAAGATGTGATCAATAAACCGGTTCTCTTTTTATGCGAAATTGTATGGGAAGCATCTCATCATTGTCAACTGACGAAAAGAGTTGAGGAGAGTTAATTATCTGTTCACATAGGGATATGTATACATTCCAAACCAATTCTTCCCAAAGGAAGGATGATAAAGGTCTCAGGATTATATGAACTTAATATTTATCATTTCGTGGTATCTTCTGAGGTGGTTACTACCTGAACAAAACAAAATATAAATTAAGTAAGAGATCTCTCAATCCCAACACACACAAAATCCAATGACTGACCATCTAGATTACATAGAGAATTTGCATGTCTTCGCCAAAAGGCAAGGATCCACCAGAGAACAAGAATTTGCATGTTTCTATTAGTATCACTACTATGCCGTTAATTATTGTCAACTAATCTAGATATTTGAAGTGCTAAGCACAATGGTATCATCAAATGTCTACTTTGAATAAGTGCAGTTGCACAGCCCGATGATAGATTACGGAAAATATGTATTTATCTAAACTATGTTTTCCAAATAAGATAATTCATTTCTACGAAGAAGTAAAAAAACTATACAATATTATAAGAACGATAGTGTCACCCGGCAATACTGCGAACATTTAGAATAACAACCAATTTGGAATGAAGTTAATCAATGCAGCTAGTGAGTATTCAGCACCACGTTTAGGTAGGTTTCAGTGCTAAACAAATTCGAACTTGCAAATCTGTAATGGGGTCGTACAAACAGAAGACGTGTCATTTTGATGATGACCTTATAACTTGATATTCTATCAGACTGTTAGTCGAAGAATTATTGATTGCAAAAGAATAAAATTACTATGATGACACCATTATGTAATATTTTCTAAACCGAAACACTACAAACTGATGAAGTGATCATTTTATCTGTTGAAGCAAGGTAAAAAGCACAACTGGAAAATTCTTCATGGAGGCAACCGAAATATTCAACTAACAAGGCTCTCTCCCAACAATTGGTCCCAAAGTAGAGAATTTCTTCAATAATAATAATAATATCTTCATTCTGAACAGTCTTTGTACAGAATTTCCAGAGGAGTTCATTGCATGATATTTTCCCGTCGTACAATCTCTTCAAGTAAAAAATTAATTGACACTAAATCCTGTGACACAATGGTCTCTGAGCTGAAGCACCAACCATTCCATTATGATATATCTGCTTTGTCTTCTTAAACAAATCAACGATATCTGGCTGAAAGCCAATTGTAAGATGTTCAGAAGTACATTTTGATACCCAAGGACTTAATTTTAGAACAGTTATCTTATGTAATGGAACACGCTGACACCCACAATCAGGCCTTTCCTCAAGTTTAGTAGGGACTTGTGAATCACAAGCTTGTAAACATTTTAATTACACACAGGAGTAGATAATCGATTAAAACAAACCGAACGAGAGAAAAATATATACAATATAGAGATGGAAGTTTTCGGTAGGCCAAATTTTAAGCAGGCCACCGTATTAAATTTGTTACAGTTCTTCTTAGTAAGATACTTAAAGTATGGGTTAAGTAAACTTAAATCGAAATCCAAAATGACTTTAGAATAAATATATTGAGATACAAATTTCCACTTCATTTAACTTGGTTCATCATGTGTGTCAGGGAGATTTTAGTTACCATAACCAAGACATGATACTGACCAACGTTGGATATAATTTATAATTTGTATTTATCTAATTTAGTATGATTGAAGATCGAAATGAAGAAAATATGGAATTTATAATAAGTAGGCTTGAATAGTCTCAATTTTAGATACTCTACTAGTTGGGACACAGGAAGCAAAGCTGAAAACAGCATATGAAGAGAGAATACAAGCAGAAATATTGAATTATCTTTAAACCCAGAATCGTGAAACTGCTAGGCTAGATACATACTGAGTATAAATTAAAGTCTATAAATGTTTCAGGAATAATTTATCATACCTTGTAAATAGTCCACAAAACAATGGAACATATGGTAGCAAATTGGGTGGTAAATCTTTTAGATCGGCCAAACCATGGAAATACACTAAACCATTCGTCGGTGCCTCGTTCAACTGAACTGAACAGTCAGCGGCTGGAAGTTAAAGGAAAATACCGCAGAATTATTATAAGGTTATGATACAGTAGAAAAAATTTACACATTCGATAATGAAACATAAAAAGATTGATTTTAAAAAAATAATATTTTAAACTTTTATGTGACGTTGACACAGATAATAAAACAGGGGATAATCCTTCAGGCAAACGGCTCGGGGAAAACGGTGGAGCAATCATAGGAAGAATAGCAAAGGATAAATATATAGGACAAGTTCACAGTCCACTAATTAACAGCGTGACACCTAAAGGTGTATCTTTGGCGTTGACAGTATTGCAACTAATTAATGAATTACCGTTTTTTAAAACATTTTAGCAGGATGCATGAATTCCCCCGAAAAAAGATATTACCTTATAGCTATGTCAGAGATAGAGCACAGATAGAACCATACCCACAAAATCAACTCGTACTATTAAAATAACCTAGTGTCATTTTAGAAACTTTAGGTTATTACTTCAAAAACTTAGCTACTTATCAAGTATGTACATATTCTAAGGTTAGCAAAGAACCTCATTCATGGTGTGCGCGAGTAGAATATCAACTATGACTGGCAATTTAACTGCTATTGACTTTCACAGTTACCCAATTATGATGCACCCCTCTGCAGAGTGAAGAGGCATCATTGTCGACTTGCTGGTCATTCAAGCGAAACTGCGTACTGTTGTTTGATATCCACTCGTGAGATAATAAAACCAACATTCATTCCAAACCCAATTCAAAAACAAAGTATGCGACCGGCCTCAACCATTTGTTCCTGAAGCACTGATTTGAAGCACGAGTAATGTCGCTTCGGTTTCGAGTACTTCACCACGAAATGGTCTTCCGCGGTGTGTGTACCACCAAGCGACAATCAGCGACACACATCCATATATAAACGATACAGCCGAAATGTAAATTAAATTTCCACCGTAGCAACAAATTAACAGAGGGAAAACTATAACATTCAAAATATTCCTTTACGGGTAATTCAGAAAAAACAATTTACAACAAGCACCGATAATTTCTAAAACCAAATAACATCTACGGTTAATATAACTCTAGCCGAGGAATGAAGAATTTTCAATTGCGACACCACATTGGATTAAATGCAGTTCTTCAAGTCTAGCAGTTTGAAGTAGTATACAAGTACTTCTGTGGTTTCAGTGCCAAAACAATTAAACCACAGCTCAAACTAACCTCGATACTTAAACACATGAAACTCAAAAAATTTTCTTAATCACCTGATTTCTTTATTTGTAGGTTTTATACCTATGGGAATGTAGATCTCAAGCAGTGTCTTGAGTTTATGGATTCTGAGTACCTTCAGCATTTCGAAGCATTGACACTAGACAATTTAACACCACTAGAAAATATGTGGAATGAACCCGTGAGTTTGTACACTTTCAGTATTCATATTTTGGTCTGTGTTAGACACCCACTTTGATGAATTTGTCACAAAAAGAAACAAACGCATTCAAGACTTCTGATTTGCAGGAATGAGTAAAGCATCTCACGTCGCTTTCATGTATGCTTCATTCTGTGTCGTCCAAATACCCTATAGATTTCTAGTATTCCAATTAGTGCTGTAGAGCATCACGTCTCTGTACTCAAAATTACTAGATCACTAGATGTCAGAGCTAATATCCTTTCTTCCGATTTTGACAGTTCTCTCCACACCACCTCATGGATATGAGATATGTTTATTGAAGGTGAAGGATACGAAAATAAGGCGCTTTTGATGGTAGGAGTCTTTGTTCAACCTCTCCTCTTAGGGGAGAGAGATATACTAACAGTAATAATGAGGTCAATCAACATATTATTATTTACGGTTTTTAAAACATAAATCCAATCTGACATAAATATACTTTCATCACTCGAATCGTTGTTTGCCATTATTATCCTGGTCACGAAGTTGTAGGATGTTAGTGGCTAACAGTCCACGACATTGCAACCATAATACGAAAAGATTAGACCATTTTGGGTTGAGTTAGCCAAAAGAATTGAGGATACAATGTCCATCAAATGAACTGTCTCTTAAATTCTCAATGAGATAAACTTTATTTGAAAATTCAATTATGGGTAAATTTTTGTTCTGATAAAGTCTCACAGTGTTATACAGTAATGTTTACTGATGACGTTTCGAGCACAATTTATTGCTCATAATCATATCAAGGTATGAGCAATAAATTGTGCTCGAAACGTCATCAGTAAACATTACTGTATAACACTGTGAGACTTTATCAAAACAAAAATTTACCCATAATGGAATTATACTCTGCCACAGTGCACAAGTTTTATTCTTTTATTTGATAAAACCATTTCATCAACTTACTTTGAGTTAGCGTGAACGATTCTGGTCTGCATTCTAAAGGAATATCAAATATATCGAGGCATGGTAAACACGAAACGTCTTCCTCTTCGTTTTGCTTTTCAAGGAGTTGACGAGCTACATTTTAAAAGAGGGAACAATAAAAATGAAGAAATGAAATAGGTCAGGACATTAAATCCTGTAAACTTTAAACTAGGACATTTTGTCTGACTGGCAACAACCGTGTGTCAAAATATCTTAATACATCATTTTAAAATAAAATGAAGTTGTGCGAGACAAACACTTGCATACTGTCATTACTAGTATTGCTACTGCTATTGCTTTGAAATGAACTGAACTGTACTGTACTGTTGAGAACGATTTTCAAATGTGACACCAACAGCCTCCAGTCACTGGTTCACAGCGTCCTGAAGACTCCAACCAGGTAATCTACACCTGCCCCTAAGTGACTCAAACCAGCAGTCGACGAATTCACAAATTGAAGCTATGTTTTCGTCTGACCACCCTTGACTGAAATCCAATGTCGGTTGACATGGCTCAATGAGGAAAGCGTGAGTAACACGTGTCCTAACCGTCTCAACCGCTGCAGTTGCATTACCCCATTGATTGACTTGCCCTACTCACCTAGCACTTCTCCTAACCTGAGTACCACCACTACCACTACTACTATGTTATACCACTTCACACGATAGAAAGAATATAGGTAGCCGAAAAAGTGAAGGACGCAGCAAAGTGTTGTGTAGTGTACAGTATGCACGTCCTTTGGCCGATAGTTGAATATCACATCTCCAGCAGTGGTCTTCGAAGTTGGTAAATGCCAGATGAGCCTTTTTCCTGCGAGCTGAGGTCTCGTTGACAACCAGTCAATTAAGACTGATGCGATTTCCTGAATAAGTGAAGTGGCTAACATGTTCAACCATTTCACTTCTCACTACTAAACTGAGAGCTGGAGTAGACCACTGCTGCAGCCATCATGTTGCATTTGGTATGGGCGAATCGCGTGTCGAACATACTAAGCCTCCTTCTTAATCGTGTTCAGCAGACTCTGCATTTGATGAGCATACCATCAGGTCCCACTGTTTTGCCTCGTCTTACACATTAGACAGCTTTTGCGAGCCCAGTTACAGTTGAAGGATCGATGTCCACATCTTGTTCAGGTAGGTGTTGGATGCTGGGCGATTTCATTGTAGATGTAGGCAAGTTGAATTGCTTCTCAAATATTCCAGTTGTCGTCTATCCTGAGAGGTAACTAAACTACCGTATTTGTAGAAAATCCTACCACATAACATTGCTTTCTACAGCTCTTTTCTTGATGAGTCGGAACAGTTATCTGGTATCATCCACCTCCGGAGAATTTCCTGTCTCTTCTGCTTTCTTCCCTCACCACTGCTCACAGTCGTTGCTAAGACTTTTAGTCAACTTGCTTTTGAGCAGCTTTTGCTTCTATCAGTTCGGATGAAGATACACCAATTAACTGACACTTACTAACCTTCGGCTGCAGGTTATCAACAATCTTTACCAGTTTTTGCACGGTAGACTGACTGGGTATGATGCCAGGCGTTCTAAGGATGTGTATGTGTGTGTGTGTGCATCAGTATCGATGTCAGATACGCGTTCAGTTTCTACTTTTTACTAGTTCTTTACAGTTGATTCATAAAGTAGTAGCTTTTATTTGAATTAGAATGATACATCATTTCATTAGAGGTATATTCAATCAGGTGACTAGTTGTCCCATCATTAATAAAGGACAGTTCTCATTGTTACTATTTTCCTTTAGAGATCCATCGAGTTATCATGTGAACCAGATCCAATGACCCCTCATCCGGAACGCCAATCTTGTGTGTCTCTTAGCTTTCGTTTAGATGAGTAAGTCTATATGTATGATTTTTGTTAGACAATATTTTAGTTCCAGTACTACTAAACAATCGTGTGAACACAAACTAGTGCTACCAGTTACCCATACGTAATGGCTAGTAAGTGGACTAATGATTCACTAAACTAATTAGCCTGATTCGGTTTCAAACCCTCTTTACTCACTGTAGCTGAGGTAGTTGACTACCTCTCTAGCTGGGAATTATTGATGCAACACGCGATGTTATTTACTGTATGACAATCGAAGTTGTCAGATTTCACACGAGTACATGGAGATAAGAGGTAAAAGGGTGGAAAAGGACATGGGTCTTATATAATACATGTGCGATAATATGAATTGGTAAAAAGTGTACACCTCACGAAGTAGGCCAAGTTACAGTCGAACACATTTATGGTTACGTGACTAGAGAAGCTCATAAAGGTTGTGTACTTATTAGGTGCTGCTTGTAGTGGAAGTGACGGACGAACCGACGTAGAACTTAGCACTGATGTGACACAGTCCACACAAGTTGCGACACATCGGAAACGCATACAAAGGTACATTGTTTCTATCGGAGGGGAACGCGGATGCATGTACTGTACGGGATAAAAACAATTAATAATAAGTAATTATGCTATCAAACGTTCATAATAGGCATACCCTTGAACACTTACCCTTAGATGTTAATGTCTCTTTATCTGAGAGAGTGATGTCTTTTGTTAATTTAATCAAGTTCTCTTCATCCTTTTTTGCTTCCACAGACTTCCAACTGGGATCCGAACGCATTATTGTTGTCAGCCTATGCTTGTTATCCTAGAGGAAAAGGAAACGCCGAATTTAATTTACACATGAGTTTTCAGTTATTTCTGCCGAGACAACTTAAATGTACTTATTAATTAATGCGATGCCACCGTTATTATTAGCCTTCAAGAAATCTGATTGTATAGCTTAACTATAAGCTAGGCTGATTAAAGATACCAATTAATTAGGCTTCCATTTAGAAAATTCAAGATTACTTATTAGTGCATTGACGTGGAGCAGTGGAAATTAATATTCTTCATAAATTTTCAAACCATAGGTGATACATATACACCCTCAAACAATTCGAGTGTTATGTCCGATGAATCATTGAAAAATTACTTTTATATAATCCTTGTTCTGCTTCAGTTCATGTAACACTTGACAAGATATTTATATTTTTTTAATCATAAACAACGAATCGTTCAGAAAAATCCAGTTCTAAATTTTCAAAACACTTAGATTAAGTCATAATCATAAACAATTTTGTATCCGAACTAATCTCTGAGGACACTAGTGCATCGCGTAACACTTCAATCAAAAAACACCATCCTTGGAAATGAGCACACTACGAAGTTGGCGCATAAAATGACAGAATAGTTTTCTATCGCAAACGCAAAATATTAGAACAAAATTATTTTATTGAGAATTGGGTAAATATCTCCAGATGTGATCCTGAACATTGTTAACGGTTATGTATATATGTCTAACACAAACAAATTTCATCCGTAGTATCAAGAACTATTACCAAGAAACAAACAGTAGATTAAGCGTTATGCAATCAATATGATTTAATAATAATGTGTTTACAAAAACGAAGGTCCGGGGTTCGAACCCCGGCCGACGCACTCCTTTACCTCGCTAAACCAGAAATAAAGCTGGTAAAGAGGAAAGGTTGGGCATGAGGCTAGCAAACCCATCCTGTAAAAATAAACACTGCTACAGAAACTTCAAGCCTCCAGCTTGAAGCCCTTTGTTCCACTGGGAACGTGAAGGAAAAAAAAATTACAAAAACGAAACAATGGATAAGATTTCTAGCTCAGGTGGATGATATTGAATTATGTTTTCTGAGCTGGTTGATTTAATTGCAGAACTTTCATGGTCCTACTAGACAACATCTTCAAGTCACATGGCTCAAAATCGTTGTCAATGGCGCAGATGTATTCAGTCTCTGTAATCTTTCATATTTCTTTCTACCATTACCCACTCTGTTTCACTCTTATACTTGTCAGACTGTATCGACTCTCTTCACTCATCTTCTTGTCTACCTCTGTATGCTATTTGGAAGGTGGCAACTCGAACTGCTGCACTTCGGTGCCAAGTTCTATGTTGAATCCAGACAGACAGACAGAAGTCACGTTTTAGTATGGAATGAACTAATTTGAATTCTCCATGAATGATATAACTGTTTCTCCTGGCGACCATTGTCATGACTGGTTGCTGATTTATATCCCTATTGATTATTTTTATTGGGTTGCGATTCAGACTTTGTTCACACGTGATTAAATTTTTATTAGCTGCTAAAATTTGGTCTATCGTAATGTTTTTTAATTGCTAATTCACTTCAGTACTAGCCTTCTAGAATCCCATGGCATTTTTGGCGCTTCTTCTATTTAAAACTTCTACATTATCCTAATCGAATTGGTGTCCGTAATTATCTACATGCATTGATATGAGAAAACACATATCGTGTCTTTTCACAGGTGATTTATCTCCTTGGATTCGGACACGAAGGAGACGCTCACTTTGACCGATTTAACGTTTATTGCAGTTCATACAATTTATTTTGTGAATTAGTATTAATTCTTTCTTCTTTTCCTGGTGGACCTTTTGTCTTGCACAGTATCCAATTAAGTGATTGTGTTGGTTGGCTTGTGTGGTATATCTATTTGAAATGTTCTTAATATTCGAACTGTTATTTCAAAAAAATTTTTAATATGTGGTAGAATGAATTCTTTTGTCGACTATAAATGATGGTTTCTTGTTGGTGTTATGACTCGAGTTTAAACACTTGTTCACGAAACTGTATTCGTTCATTCTTTTTGAAGACGGTTAGTAGGTATTTTTCCTCCATTCTCTTTAATACTTGAGTGCTAGTGTGTTGGAACTCTTTTGAAAAATGCCTGCACACAACTCAGAGAACACGACTAATTTAAAATCGAAACAATTAAACTCAAAATAATAAATTGAATAAAACGTAATCGACTTGTGCTAAGATTATTTTAGGCAGATGAGTATTTCACCGAATTTATCTTAAACCGTCGTCATCTTCCGTGAGTGTGTCAAATGTATGGGTACGGATCTCACTGAGATACCGCATTCTAAAATTAATAAATTCCTGGTCCAAGGTATTGGTTTGTGTGCATGAACCAATGACAGACTGACTGGTTTCAAAGTAAAACTTTACACAGATGTGCACCAGTTCGAGTTGCCACAATCTATGTAGCACAGAAAGCGAAAGAAGACAATAAAGAGAGATAATGAACAGAAGTGTGAGGGAAATAGAATAGAAATGTGAAAAAAATAATAGAGCTTTATTGGATATGACAAGTCACAAGGAGTGAATGCATCTGCGCCACTCATAACGAGGATTTTGAGCCGTATCACCAATTGTCTCCAGTCAGTGGTTTTTACCATCCTGAGGACCCCAACAAGTTAGGAAGCCAGTCTACACCTCCCGAATCGGCAGGTTGGCTTAAATTAACTGCTATGGATTTCATTAACTGATGAGGCCATGTTTTGTCTTGACCACTACTAGCTACACCTCTTTTCCAACCTGATGATCCATCCTATGGCAGCTAACATCGCCCATCGAGAAAGGCGATCGATAGCTACGCATGCTTAACACATGTCCAAACCATCTCAATCGATATAACTTTACAGCCTCGTCGATTGATTTCCCCTCCTTACTTACCACTCGCCCAAAGCCTAACCCTCAATATCGCCCACTGTGTTATACCACTTAACACGAGATAGAATACAGGCACCTACGATCAAAGACAGCCAGCCTTTTCATGACTTCTACTTTCAATGGCCATGTCTCACAGTCATAAAGGAGGACGGGTCGGACTGTTGAGAAGTACACATATCCTTTTATCGACAGCCGGATATCACATCTACTAAGCTACAAATGGCGTCAGTTGGCGTAAGCCAAACGACCCTTCTGTATACGTGCTGAGATTTCGTCAGTGACCAACCCATTGGGGCTGATGCAACTCCCCAAGCAACTGAAGTGGTCAACACGCTCAGCTACCACTTTAGTCCCTATTTTTAGGCTAGGAGTCAATGTAGACCAGTCCTGTAGCATTATCTTATATTTAACGGGATCGAACCACATGCCAAAACTCGAAGATTGCTGCTCACGGTGTTCAGAAGACTCTGCATTTTGTCAGCGTCTTCACCTACAGGGACTACATCATTTGCATATTCTAAGTCGAAAAGACTTGACCCTAACAAGTAACAAGTCAATGCCTGAGTCGCTGAAGTCAGCTAAGGTTAAGTCCAGTAGTACATTTGTGACGAAATTAGACAGAAATGAGGAGTGTGCATCCCTGATGGGTACAACTGGTTGTCACCAGTTCAGATGATAACTCGCTGCATGAGTCCGAGTTGAGTGCCTTGATCAATGCAATCTATTTTTTCGGCATTCCCTTCACAGCCAAACATCGCCATAGTACGTTTCATTGGACAGAATCGAATGCCGCTTTTAGGTCAAAAAATATGACAATTGTTGCACGCCGCCCACGTTCCAGAATCTGTCGGAGGGTGAAGATATGATCGAAACACCCTCTTACTGGTCTAAAGCCTGCCTGCTCCTCTCGATCACCGCTTAGTCTACGCATGATTATTGAGCCTAGAACGTTAGACACCCTATTGGTCAAGCTAATCCCCATGATTATCACAGAAAAACTTGTCTCCCTTCTTGTATATCGGATAATTAATGACTTACACCAGCCCGACGAGACTTCATCTGATTCCCAGACGCTACCTAATACCTTAGTTAGCGCAGACAGCAAACTGTCTCCACCGCACTTAAACACCTCTGGAGTCATTCGATCGAGCCCCACAGCTTGGCCTCGTTTGAGACTAGTGACAGCTTTCGTAACCTCAGTTAGGGACCGAGGACCTGTGTCTATATCCCATTCAGGGAAGTATTGGATGTTCGGTAGGTTGAGCGTGGCTGTAGGTAGGCCAGTGAGATCGCTGCTCAAAGTGTTCTTTCCAGTGTTTTAGTCGTCTATCTTGGGAGCTAATTATGGTGGCATTTTTCTCAAAGATTGTTTCACTTATCATCTGCCTGTTGCCACCTGTTTCCCCAGTAAGTCTAAATAGCTTTTGTCGCCCAGCACTGTTCACGGTCGTTGAGAAAACTTCTTGTTAGTTTGCGTTTGAGTAGCTTTTGCTCCCCATCGTATTCCGAGCTCGTCCAAATCAGTCTTCCTGCATCAGTCAGTTCCGACGAGGTAGTAGAAACCTACTGACTCTTACTAACTTTTGGCTTTGGGTTATTAACAGCTTTTACAGTTGTTTTTTGTGTCAGGCTTCCGCAGGAGGAGTCCTGCTGTCGACCACAGATACGAGTTTCACTATTTCAGAGTCTCGATCTAGTTGAGGACGTAACTGACTTGTTGCCAACAATTTTTTTACGTCTGTTTAATCGTAAGCGCGAACCAGGGAGTGATCGGACTCTACTGACTGACTGACTTCAATATAAAACTTTGCACTGATGTGCAGCAGTTTGAGTCACCGCACTTCACTCAGCACACAAAGCCAGAGAAAAAAGTAAAAAGAAATGCGAAATAGAGATAGTAAACAGAGATACGATGCTAAAAGAATGGTAATATCGAAGAACAATATAGTTTTATTGGCTATTATAAATGACAAGAAGTGGATGCATCTAACTGCTCCAGCCATTGAGAACGATTTTGAGCCATATCACCAGTTGTCTCCAGCCACTGGTGTTTACCGTCCCAAGGACCCCAACCAGAAAGTCTAAACCTTCCTCCCTACGTGGCTTAAACTAACTGTTGTGGATTTCACTGACTGATGAAGCCATGTTTTGGTTTGACCACCACTGGCTCTTTACCAACCTGCCCCTATGTCAGCTAACATTGCCCGTTGAGAAAGGCAATGGCTAGGCATAAGTAACACATGTCCTAACCATCTCAATCGATATAACTTCACAGGTTCGTCTATTGATTTCCCATCTTTACCCAACACTAGACGCCCAACCTCAAAATTGTTCACCTTATTATACCATTTCACACAGGACATAGAACGCAGGCACCTATGATCAAAGACAGCTAACGTTTTCATGTCTACACATTTATTCCAGAAGGAGAGACAGTCTTCTACTGACCCTTGCCAAGGATACCCTATCGCCATGTGGTCCATTTGAGTCCGACGTTGATTTGGTGATGGAGGTCGCCAGGTTATGCAATGTCTCTCTTTGTGCCTAAAGTTAACGCTGACCAGGGACAGATGATTTTCCCAACAGAACTGGAGAAGACGATAACCGTTTTTGGTTCGTCTGCAGGGGACTCCGTACGTACCACCGATATACTTCTCAGTTTAGCATAACTTCCCTACTTGAGCGTTGAAGTCGCGTTTTGCTTTTTTCAGAAAATTAGACAGATTCAGGTAGAAATCATCCTTTAGTTCATCCGAAATGCAGTCGGTTGGGGCGTAAGCAGAGACTGCGAAAAGGCAACGACGGGTAGCGCCATCCTTCCTTCTTCTAATGGACCCGTCCAGACATACCGCACACAAACGACTATCTGATGGGATCCAGTTAGGAAGCGTTTCTTCTGCTCTAACACTCGACGCTATTCCTACAGCTGTAAGTTCTCGCGAAATAGCTGAGGAGTCTCCTGACACCCTTAAGGTGAATTTTGAGGATTCACCTTGTTGACCCGGTGGGGTTAAGTGAATGACCACACTAAGGTTTTGTATGTGTGTCTTCAAAACACAACATACACCCATGATTCGAGATGCTAGTGATGCTTGTTGCCCGATCTGGCGGAGGGTCCTGACGTTAAACGCTCCAATATGAAGTTGGCGGCGGGGCTTTAAGAGAATGTCAGGGGGTATTCTTATGGCTCTCATCGTTGTTTGTGGTCACAGAGTGAAATGAAGATGACTGATTAGCCTGCAGAACAGTAATGACGGTAGGAGAAAAACAAGATGATGAGAGTGACAGGGATAGAGGAGGAGAATGATAAGGAGTGCTTCGTGTACTTTTGGAAGTGTGTGAGCGGCTGTCACTTCCCGGCCGCTCACACCGTGGAAGTTGATTAGTTCTTGAGGCACCTGAAACACAAAAAGAAATGGCTTTTTCGTTTGGTTCCGACGGCTACGGACCACAGAACGGTAAGTCAGGATGTAAAAGGTTTGAAGTGGTCCTTTCCTAACCGCCTCTTTACAGAGTGGAGAGACAGCATAGGTGCCATGCTCGTCATCTGAGGGAAACGCATTACTGCTGTTACACCCCTGTTCTCCAGAGGTACGACTTCGCCCACAGATCCCCAGCATAGCTTAAAAAATCGTCTTACACTATGCCGGTAGCTGCTTTTAGTTTGATCACCATCCTAACAATCTTCTTGGCATGGTAGGACCTGTAGGAACATCAATTCCACCCAGTGTAGATTGTTGCATCACTGCAGTATGCGAGCCTGACCCCCAAGTCAAGGTGTCAGATATCGGCCGAGGCATTTTATCGTATCCAACACGGATATTAGAAACAGCACACTGAGAAAGTCTGCTGCTGAACAGATTTACTAATGTAAACGTCACCTTGTTTTTTGCATTGCGTTTTGACGTTTCTTTTTGAAATGAAAACAATCCAGGATATTTGAATTCACTAGTACTCGTGTCTCAACTACTTCATTCAATCTTCTGTACTTCAGCTTTTTTCAGCAAAGTTTAGAATAATTATTAAAAGGACTCGGTTAATGCTACTTCAAACCACTAATATACATTTGATAAACAGGTAAGACCAATTACAAAAGTTGCTTTCACAACTTGTACTAGTATACAATAAAAAGGGGGAATAAACAAACAAACATTCACTCCGTTCGCAGTTGTCAATCAAAATATTTGAACAGGTGGTAATTTAGAAACATAATTGGTCTACTGATTTAAATGATGACTAATTCTTACGGCTTTAAGAATAAAAATAGCGCTAAATATGAAAGAATCTATTGATTCTGACTTTTCACCTGACCTGCAATTTGCATACATCGTTAATAACAAAACAATAACTATTAAGCAAAGTGAATACCGATTTTAAAAGCACAGTGACATACCAAGAAATATTGCTGAGTAATACTTTGAAGCATGGTTGGATTTTCTACCCATTCGTCACGAAATCGTTTTACAATGGACCCGATTTGCAGGAATTCACTAACATCAACGTCATGGTTAACTGCGTTTGATAAACTCATAATTAAATTCAAACCGAAACGAGCTGATTCATGACGTACTGCCAATTCATATTGATGAAGTGTCGCTTCAACACGTTCTTTTGGAAAACCATCTCTTTAAAAATGAATGAACAAACTAATTAAATGCTTTATTATACCTGATATCTGAAATTATAAGGATACTTTTTCTCCTACCCGTCTATGTACAATTAAGCATAGAATGCCGTGTAATACAAAGCTTAAAAAGAAATACGAGATCATCATTAAAGCAACCGGTGGAAAGAATTTTAGATTTTCCTAACGAAATTTGCTAATGCACAACAGATAATTAAGAGCTGATTGAAATTTGCCTCAAGAAAGAAGAGGAATACTGTCTGCATACTATCACTAACTCGCTTGGTTTACATGAGTGCCCAGAACAACAAAACAAATCACACAGGATCCGACGCTTTGTGTACAATGAACACCAAGATGCTTCCAAATTTATTATAAAGCCAAAGGGAAAATCACTACAAATTACTTTATTTTAACTTTATTCCTCTAAGTTCCGAGTGAAACGTAGGGCTTTAAGCTTATTGAGCTTCTGAAGTTTCGGTAGCAGTGGTTTTATTCTTACGGGGTTAGGTCGCTAGCCTTGTGTCCAACCTTCCCTCTTTACCAGTCTATACTACCGACTTACTGAGGTTTAGCTGGGTATAAAACCCAGGACCGATTGCGTGGTTCTCTCTCTCTCTCTCTTACTTACTTTTACTTTACTTCGGCTATCTCCTACGGGAGGATGAGCCGGCTTCATGAACCATGAAGTTTCATGGGAATTGGGTACGAGTGATGTCCCCAGCATCTCTCTCTCTCTCTCTCTCTCTCTCTCTATATATATATATATATATATATATATATATATATATATATATATATATATATATATTCGTTAACGGCGTACTTGTACAATCTGATATTTATCTCTACTTTATTGAGTGAATGGCTTTTATTACATTAAGGATGTTGAATAGTTGTACATAAATTTAAGCTGGAGTAGGATTTAAACAAACACTAATATGATTATGCTATTAGAAAAGTACAAATCGTACCGAACCACTTCAGATATAATATCCATAACCAAATTGGGGAATTTTTCAACGTCATCAGCCCTAACACCTTGCACTCCAACGTGAAAACTCGTAGTGCGGGTTCCGCGGTCAATCCCGTTGATGTTATCAATCCAATCTAATCCATATCCTGATTCTATCAAACCACGATATAATGGTGCATTGTCTCCATCGAGCAACAAACTGCATACTATACCGAGCACAAAATTCGTGTAAACATTGCGAATACTGAAATAAGAAAGATTAGAAATAAGTATAAAGCTTCTGCTATACAATTAATTAGTAACACAAAGCAAGTATAAACTTTTAACCAATACATAATACCAAATCAAAAAACTTTCAAACATCCTTTCACTAAACTTTAAACAGTTAATTATTTATTATTATTATTTCTTTGGGTTCCGAGTTGAACATAGGGCTTTAACAACACATCACTTTGTCCTATTTTCTGCCATCCTCTTCATCAGGATCCACGATCGCTCATGATCTCTTAGCTCTTCCATGTCACTCTTGGGCGATCCACTCATTGCTTCCCACTTATGTTTCACTCGAGGGCCTGGCGCGTGATAAACTGAATGATATTTTAACTGAGACATGGAAGTTAAACAGGATTCCAGCCGATCGACCACAGATACTGATTGTTGTGGTCTTCATTGAAGGGGTGAAATCCTCGTGTCAAGTCCTAAGAAATCATTCAGTAAATCCCCGATTTGGATGGAACCTAGGTTGCTTCTCGCAGATAAGTATTCATGTGTTTTCCGAGGTTAGCGAGGCACGTTTAGTAACAAGCTCATAAACTTGATTCAATCACATATATTACATAAAATCCATCCAAAATGCCAGGAATCCCTAACAAAAGGAAGAGAATACAACTAATCTCCATCCCTCAAACGCCTAACTTGACTAATAACCTGGCAAAACTCGACGATACACGATGCTACAGAAACAATTTCAGTGGAAAGATAGGTCAGCATAATCAAATTTTACTCTCAGTATTCCGTTTCCAGTCGAGTGGGAAGGGATATACGAACAATGATTTCATTAAATATCAGGGTGGTGGAAGTGAATAAATAAATATCCATTGTTGACTTGCATAATCGTTAAATTTCCTCACAATCAAGTCGCATCGTAGCTACTACTTTGCATTCTGATAAGGTTTACCTGTCCTAATAAACCACCTGGACCATTAAAACTAAAGCACAAAGTACCTCTATTTCTCACTAACGCCCTGTCCCACTCCCTGTCGATAACTACGTGTTCGGCCTTGCGAACCACAGTGACCTGGCAAGCTACCCCGGCTGGCACTTATGTTTCTGCAGGTCCTACTATGTCAGGGAGGTTGTTTAAATAGCGGTTAGGCTAAAAGCAGTTGCCATGAGGTACATGGGTTCGAAAATTCAATCAGACCGAATGGCGCAGGAACTTGCAAAGGTCGCCAGCAACCATGACAACGTATCTCCTGACTTTTCTCCGCTGTCTTGCGGATTAGACTCCAAACCTTTGGCCCTCAACAAAAGACATCACTCTCTCAGATAAAGAGACATTAACATCTAAGGGTAAGTGTTCAAGGGTATGCCTATTATGAACGTTTGATAGCATAATTACTTATTATTAATTGTTTTTATCCCGTACAGTACATGCATCCGCGTTCCCCTCCGATAGAAACAATGTACCTTTGTATGCGTTTCCGATGTGTCGCAACTTGTGTGGACTGTGTCACATCAGTGCTAAGTTCTACGTCGGTTCGTCCGTCACTTCCACTACAAGCAGCACCTAATAAGTACACAACCTTTATGAGCTTCTCTAGTCACGTAACCATAAATGTGTTCGACTGTAACTTGGCCTACTTCGTGAGGTGTACACTTTTTACCAATTCATATTATCGCACATGTATTATATAAGACCCATGTCCTTTTCCACCCTTTTACCTCTTATCTCCATGTACTCGTGTGAAATCTGACAACTTCGATTGTCATACAGTAAATAACATCGCGTGTTGCATCAATAATTCCCAGCTAGAGAGGTAGTCAACTACCTCAGCTACAGTGAGTAAAGAGGGTTTGAAACCGAATCAGGCTAATTAGTTTAGTGAATCATTAGTCCACTTACTAGCCATTACGTATGGGTAACTGGTAGCACTAGTTTGTGTTCACACGATTGTTTAGTAGTACTGGAACTAAAATATTGTCTAACAAAAATCATACATATAGACTTACTCATCTAAACGAAAGCTAAGAGACACACAAGATTGGCGTTCCGGATGAGGGGTCATTGGATCTGGTTCACATGATAACTCGATGGATCTCTAAAGGAAAATAGTAACAATGAGAACTGTCCTTTATTAATGATGGGACAACTAGTCACCTGATTGAATATACCTCTAATGAAATGATGTATCATTCTAATTCAAATAAAAGCTACTACTTTATGAATCAACTGTAAAGAACTAGTAAAAAGTAGAAACTGAACGCGTATCTGACATCGATACTGATGCACACACACACACATACACATCCTTAGAACGCCTGGCATCATACCCAGTCAGTCTACCGTGCAAAAACTGGTAAAGATTGTTGATAACCTGCAGCCGAAGGTTAGTAAGTGTCAGTTAATTGGTGTATCTTCATCCGAACTGATAGAAGCAAAAGCTGCTCAAAAGCAAGTTGACTAAAAGTCTTAGCAACGACTGTGAGCAGTGGTGAGGGAAGAAAGCAGAAGAGACAGGAAATTCTCCGGAGGTGGATGATACCAGATAACTGTTCCGACTCATCAAGAAAAGAGCTGTAGAAAGCAATGTTATGTGGTAGGATTTTCTACAAATACGGTAGTTTAGTTACCTCTCAGGATAGACGACAACTGGAATATTTGAGAAGCAATTCAACTTGCCTACATCTACAATGAAATCGCCCAGCATCCAACACCTACCTGAACAAGATGTGGACATCGATCCTTCAACTGTAACTGGGCTCGCAAAAGCTGTCTAATGTGTAAGACGAGGCAAAACAGTGGGACCTGATGGTATGCTCATCAAATGCAGAGTCTGCTGAACACGATTAAGAAGGAGGCTTAGTATGTTCGACACGCGATTCGCCCATACCAAATGCAACATGATGGCTGCAGCAGTGGTCTACTCCAGCTCTCAGTTTAGTAGTGAGAAGTGAAATGGTTGAACATGTTAGCCACTTCACTTATTCAGGAAATCGCATCAGTCTTAATTGACTGGTTGTCAACGAGACCTCAGCTCGCAGGAAAAAGGCTCATCTGGCATTTACCAACTTCGAAGACCACTGCTGGAGATGTGATATTCAACTATCGGCCAAAGGACGTGCATACTGTACACTACACAACACTTTGCTGCGTCCTTCACTTTTTCGGCTACCTATATTCTTTCTATCGTGTGAAGTGGTATAACATAGTAGTAGTGGTAGTGGTGGTACTCAGGTTAGGAGAAGTGCTAGGTGAGTAGGGCAAGTCAATCAATGGGGTAATGCAACTGCAGCGGTTGAGACGGTTAGGACACGTGTTACTCACGCTTTCCTCATTGAGCCATGTCAACCGACATTGGATTTCAGTCAAGGGTGGTCAGACGAAAACATAGCTTCAATTTGTGAATTCGTCGACTGCTGGTTTGAGTCACTTAGGGGCAGGTGTAGATTACCTGGTTGGAGTCTTCAGGACGCTGTGAACCAGTGACTGGAGGCTGTTGGTGTCACATTTGAAAATCGTTCTCAACAGTACAGTACAGTTCAGTTCATTTCAAAGCAATAGCAGTAGCAATACTAGTAATGACAGTATGCAAGTGTTTGTCTCGCACAACTTCATTTTATTTTAAAATGATGTATTAAGATATTTTGACACACGGTTGTTGCCAGTCAGACAAAATGTCCTAGTTTAAAGTTTACAGGATTTAATGTCCTGACCTATTTCATTTCTTCATTTTTATTGTTCCCTCTTTTAAAATGTAGCTCGTCAACTCCTTGAAAAGCAAAACGAAGAGGAAGACGTTTCGTGTTTACCATGCCTCGATATATTTGATATTCCTTTAGAATGCAGACCAGAATCGTTCACGCTAACTCAAAGTAAGTTGATGAAATGGTTTTATCAAATAAAAGAATAAAACTTGTGCACTGTGGCAGAGTATAATTCCATTATGGGTAAATTTTTGTTTTGATAAAGTCTCACAGTGTTATACAGTAATGTTTACTGATGACGTTTCGAGCACAATTTATTGCTCATACCTTGATATGATTATGAGCAATAAATTGTGCTCGAAACGTCATCAGTAAACATTACTGTATAACACTGTGAGACTTTATCAGAACAAAAATTTACCCATAATTGAATTTTCAAATAAAGTTTATCTCATTGAGAATTTAAGAGACAGTTCATTTGATGGACATTGTATCCTCAATTCTTTTGGCTAACTCAACCCAAAATGGTCTAATCTTTTCGTATTATGGTTGCAATGTCGTGGACTGTTAGCCACTAACATCCTACAACTTCGTGACCAGGATAATAATGGCAAACAACGATTCGAGTGATGAAAGTATATTTATGTCAGATTGGATTTATGTTTTAAAAACCGTAAATAATAATATGTTGATTGACCTCATTATTACTGTTAGTATATCTCTCTCCCCTAAGAGGAGAGGTTGAACAAAGACTCCTACCATCAAAAGCGCCTTATTTTCGTATCCTTCACCTTCAATAAACATATCTCATATCCATGAGGTGGTGTGGAGAGAACTGTCAAAATCGGAAGAAAGGATATTAGCTCTGACATCTAGTGATCTAGTAATTTTGAGTACAGAGACGTGATGCTCTACAGCACTAATTGGAATACTAGAAATCTATAGGGTATTTGGACGACACAGAATGAAGCATACATGAAAGCGACGTGAGATGCTTTACTCATTCCTGCAAATCAGAAGTCTTGAATGCGTTTGTTTCTTTTTGTGACAAATTCATCAAAGTGGGTGTCTAACACAGACCAAAATATGAATACTGAAAGTGTACAAACTCACGGGTTCATTCCACATATTTTCTAGTGGTGTTAAATTGTCTAGTGTCAATGCTTCGAAATGCTGAAGGTACTCAGAATCCATAAACTCAAGACACTGCTTGAGATCTACATTCCCATAGGTATAAAACCTACAAATAAAGAAATCAGGTGATTAAGAAAATTTTTTGAGTTTCATGTGTTTAAGTATCGAGGTTAGTTTGAGCTGTGGTTTAATTGTTTTGGCACTGAAACCACAGAAGTACTTGTATACTACTTCAAACTGCTAGGATGAACAGCATGGTAGTATCCTGTGTAGTTTCAAGTTGCAATACAATTCTTCAGCTGTATTGCCTACATATTACTCTGCGAAGAAACTACATTAACTTACAAGGCCTGTGTAATTAAAGTGATATCCTTCGACACAGTTAAAAATTATGAAATCATTTTTCAGGGACGACCGGAACGATTACAGCTATTCGTTTTGATCTATTCAAATCAGTGGCAGTCGAACGACCCCATCGTTCGGATATAGTATTGCCGAGGAGTGAAGAGATAAACAGCTCCTAACCTTGCTGGCAACATTGGTCTTTTGCGACGAAAAGCAGCTCCACCAAATCGCAAGACAATCAACTTCAGTAAGCATTATGAAATGGTTTTAAATTCCTAAGGTCGCATACAGTAGCACAATAACTTATTCGAAGGATACGACTACTAATTACACAGTCTGCTACCGCGCGAACTTTGAAAAGGGAGTTAATTTTCACGCTCTTGTTTATAATTGGATTTTGTTGTGTTATACGCTTCAAAAGTCCACAGATTTAACTTTAAATCAGTTTATTCTGATCGAAGTTAGTTTACGTTTCAGATCTGAGTCTATTAATTATAGGAAGTGTTCTTATAACATAATAGCTACATATATCTATCTTTGTGCACTCATTAGCTTTTATCACTGATTTACAAAGGTTATATATATATATATTTGAAGTTGTATTTAACTTTTCCTGGTTTGTTTTAAATAAAATGCCTATCAAAAGAAACCGCTGCGGAAGGGCTATGTGCCAGTTTCCAGTGGATGAGGGAATGCAGTGTGATAACTGCAAGAGATGGTTTCACAGTATGTGCACGAACCTTACTCCAGCAGCATACAAACGCTGCTGCAAACCTCTAGCGAACTGGTTGTGCAACGACTGCTGTAGTACAACTAAACTCCGTATTACAGAAGCCATAGCTACTCTTAGTGGGGCTTTAAAGCTCATGGACTGCAAGCGTCCTCCACCACAGAAGAATACCGACTATTGCTCAGATAGCGATGACGTGACTAGCGTCATTGACAAAACAGCACATGTCCCAGATGCGACCTTGCCAATAAGTGAGTGCTCTACAGCACAGAAGAACACCCACCACATTACAGACACCCAGGTCGCCCCCACGATACTGGATGAGCCCTCCAGTGACAGTAATGGAAAGACTGCCGTGAAGAAGAGGCGTACCAGGGGTCGAAAACCTGCAGCTCCAGTCGCCCAGGGACTGGCGGAACAAGCCTCATCCACACCGGTGAGCAGCAGACAGACGAACCCCACTAAGATTAGCGAGGAGGACGCCAATGAATGGCGCACCGTAGTCTCTCGCAAAAAGCGAGATAAGGATAACACTTCGGCCACACCGCCCAAGAAGGATAGAAACACACTTACGCCTCAGGGCAAGAAAGTCACGGAAAGCAAACCCGATCTCTCTGATAGGTCTCTCATTCTCCACAAAGTGGAGGAGTCACTGGCCCTCGACCCTAAGACCAGATTCGAGCATGACCTTAACTTGGTCAAGCCCCTTTTAGACAAGCTACTGCCACAAACAGTATCAGGCATTACTATACACAGCGTATACAGAATAGGTCAAAAGCCTGACCCTACAGTAAGTGAACCTGTACGTCTCCTCAAAGTCGTACTAAACTCTAAAGCAGAGAGGGATGCTATTCTAAGCAACTCTCATATTCTCAAAGGATCAGGGATATATGTCCGCGCTGACTTAAGCCTAGCAGACCGTGTCAAAAGACAGGCTGCGGCACTAGAATTAAGTGAGCGACGCCGGAACGGTGAGAAGAACCTTAAGATTAAGGGTTTTCGGGTTGTCCGAGTTCGCAGTTTAATGATCCCGAAACCTCTGTGGGTGGGCCGGGGAAGCACCAATCTGAATTAACAGTCTGCTACACAAACGCCCGCAGCCTGTTAAATAAAAGGACTGAGCTGGCAAACATGATAGAAACCGGAAACCCGGATGTAATTATTATCACAGAGACATGGCTCACACCCGATGTCACTGACAACGAAGTTAACCTGCCAAACTTCGAAGTGCACAGGGTAGACCGACTAAACCGCAAAGGAGGGGGCGTAGTCATCTACCTCAAGAAAGGCTTAACCGTGCGTAGTATCGAAGCACTCGCCCACGAAAGTGAGTCGTGCGAACTTCTACGCTGCAGACTTAAATGCATAGGCCAAGACATTGACCTCATTGCTGTGTACCGCAGTCCTGACTGCAGTGCAGACGACTTCCTAATAGAGAAGCTAGGCTCCTGGACTTCAAAATGTCGAAGTCTCGTAGTCGGTGACTTCAACGCCCCAACAGTTGACTGGTCGAGCCTAACAACTCCATCTTCAGTCAACTCCTTTGATCATAAACTGCTAGAATCTAGTATATCGCTAGCCCTAGTCCAACATATCATTAAGCCCACGCGCTATGACTCACAGCACTCCTCGTCAACTCTGGACCTAGTGTTCTCACACGGTGAGGATGTGGATCTCATACAACATCTTCCTCCGTTAGGAAGAAGTGACCATGCTGTGCTCACTTTCAAGTTCACAGCAACGGCAGCAAGGGCCAAAACCCCAGCTCGACCAAACGTTTGGAAAGCTGACATAAATGCGATCGTCTCAGCAGCCAACTCAGTAAACTGGTACATCAATCCAGAGTCCCAAGTAGAAGCCGCATGGAACCAATTTAAGCAACTTTACGCCCAAGTAACTGTACCCTTCATCCCTTGGTCTGTTCCAAAGGGTCGGAAACATTCCCCCCTTGGATAAACCGGGAGATTCGTAAGTTACTCAGACGTAAACGCAAATGTTGGAACCTGTTTGCAACACTTGAGACTTCTGAGACCAGGGAATTATATACTACTGCTAGAAATAAAGCTATCGCAGAAATCCGCCAATCAAGGATGAAGTTCGAGACACACCTGGCCCAAAATGCAAAGGCACAACCTAAGAAAATTTTCTCGTACTTGAATTTCAGGAATAAAACACCCAATGGTGTCCCAAACCTGATTATTGACAAAGATACAATCGAAGAAGATCAAGAAAAAGCAGAAGCAATGGCAAACTACTTCTCCCAAGTCTTCACTCAGGAGTCATCACTGCCTATAGGATCAGCTCTGGCTGCATCAGAAGAACATGGGATAGATTCCGTTGACATCGACCAAGGCATCGTGCTCAACTTCTTAATGAAACTAGATGCAGGAAAATCAATGGGTCCTGACAGTCTTCATCCAAGGCTTCTCAAGGAGCTATCAGCCCACATAGCCGGCCCCTTGACCACGATCTTCAAGCTATCTCTCCTAAATGGAGTGTTGCCACGTGATTGGAAAGACGCCATAGTAACCCCCATACACAAAGGAGGATCAAGACAAAGCCCTTCAAATTACAGGCCTATCAGTCTCACCAGCACTTTAATCAAGACACTGGAAAGAATTATCAAGAAAAGCATCATGGCTTATCTGGAAAATAGCAGCTTGTTATCTGGAGCACAGCATGGCTTCCGGAGGAACCTCTCATGCCTGTCAAATCTCCTGACTGCAAGAGAAAGCTGGGTCAAATCAAAGGACAACAGAAGACCCGTTGACGTCGTCTTCATAGACTTCAGTAAAGCCTTTGATAAAGTACCTCACAAAAGACTACTCATGAAATTGGAAAGTCTTGGTATCAAAGGCAGACTACTAGACTGGCTCAGGGAATTCCTCATAGATAGGAGGCAGAGGGTTAGGATCAACTCAAAACTCTCCTCCTGGACAGCAGTAAGTAGCGGAGTGCCACAAGGCACGGTTCTCGGTCCTCTCCTTTTTATTCTGTATATCAATGAGTTACCTCTGCTCACCGACTCCCCTATGGTCCTATACGCAGATGACTTAAAAATTTGGAGGGAGCTGAAGGGCAACAGTGATACGTCCACCTTGCAAGACGACCTCAACAAACTGTCGGAGTGGTCTGTTGAATGGATGCTCCCGATCAATGTGGCAAAATGTGCAACCATGCGCATTGGACAAGCAAGCACGAGCTCCTACGAACTAGAGGGAATAACACTTCCATCAGTTCAGACTCACTTGGACTTAGGTGTCATAGTTAGCCACGACTTAAAAACTACAGCACACTGTCGCGCGGTGGCTGCACGTAGTTTCAGGTCCTTATGGGCGATTCGCAGAGCCTTTACAAGAATTACCAGAGATATGTTCACCTCCTTATACACATCTCTGGTTAGGTCAAGACTGGAAAACTGCATCCAGGCCGCCAGTCCGTGTCTAAAAGGGGATTCACACATTCTAGAAAGTGTTCAAAGGAAGGCAACACGTATGGTTCACGGCATAGCTAACTTATCATACGAGGAAAGACTAGATAGTTTAAATCTCTTCTCACTGTCATACCGTAGGCAGAGAGGAGATTTAATCACAATGTTTAAAATTTTAAATAATGACTACGGACCTGACCTATTCTCTCTTTTCCTTCCCACCAGGTCGGAACACCTTAGAGGACATAGCAGGAAAGTTCAAAAGCCAAGGAGAAATCATATTGCTGTTGAGTACTGGTTCTCACATCGAGTCATAAACTCTTGGAACCGACTCCCAGAAGAAGTGGTGTCTGCAACCTCAACTGATTCGTTCAAGAAGGGTTTGGACAACCACAGAAATCTACTAGAAAAGGATTAACATAGGCTGCAAGCCTTCTATCCTCAACCAATAAATCTGAAATCTAAATCTGATATTGCCTAAAACTTGCGATTAGTGGTAAAACAGCATTATAGCAAACTACTGAGAAAGAAGCTCTCGAAGGATAATTGGGCATAAAAATGTGACCAAAGACTCACTGCTTATAAAAAGAGACTCACCATGAGTTACTTGGGTGATAACATTGTTCGTGAAACTTTTTGAGACATTGAAGAGTCAGCGTTGGTATAAATTCCGGATGACCTCCGCTCACAAAACCGTATGTCTGTGGCAACAAATTGTTCTGAACAGCATAAGCGAACCGGTTTAAGGAATTGGACTGAAAGTAATGTAAACATATTTAGTTACAAAGGGTTGTCAGCTGTAATCACTTCTGATACAAAAGGTTTATGGACTATTGTGATGAAATAATAACGGAATACGAAATTGCCGAAGACGAATGGTGTTATTGGCATTTTAAAGTGGATTTCAGGCTAAATAATTTATCCCAATCATTTGCTCCCGTGATTCCACCACACGGATTGCCAATAAACATATAGAAAGCTCAATTAATCCAACAGAAATGCCCACATAAATTAAATTTTACATAATAAATGTGAGCTGTATTTTTATGAGGCAGGTAGATACAATGACGTTTACAAGTTCTGAGGACAAGTGTGACACAAAAGCAAATCCCAATTTCCAACAAAAGAAGTTAAATGAAAAAGACTTACGAAAACTCCCTTCATTTCATTCAACACTACACCTTTTAACAGCAAATCAGAATTCGGATCATCAAGATTTTGTGGCTCTAAACGCCATCCTTCTTGCCTAAATACTTAAAGAAGGCAAGTAGAGAACTTACATAAAGTCGAGTTCTTCCATTTTAGGTCTGAAAACAGCATCCAAATACACTTTTAGCAAATTGTGAAAATCAGTGTTATTCATTGTGCTGAATGGATATAATGTCCAATCACTAGCTGGAACACGTCAATAAATCAACAGGGTTGCGTTACCAGTTAGGGCATTCATGAACGTGGCCTGGCTTCTGCGCAACATCTTCATAAATGGGTCACGACACGGATAATTTTGGGAACCGCAGAGAACAGTGTGCTCCAAAATATGAGAAATCCCAGAATGATTGGTCGGAGAAGTCTTGAACTGAACACTGAAGTAAATACAAAGTAAATGAATTTTATCAAACCCAAATGTTTTATTAGGGTCGTCTCGGTCTAAATGTAAGTGCATTGCGCCAGACTTTTCATGTTCTAGCTCTGCGACTAGCAGACGAAGCTCTGTTACTTCAAACGACTGAAATTGTAAAGAGGAAATTATTTTTCCTACTCTCTTAAGCCTAAATCCATGCAACACCTTGTTTGCTGCCAACCTCTCAATTTTGTGGATCATAATGTACCGCTTCAGGTGGCTTGACCTTGCGTGAAAACCGTATTAAGCGGAGGATGTGACACCGACGATCAATATTCAATACCTTGGCAAGCTGGCGTATATTGTGTAAAGGTTTTCCTGGTCTTAATTCTGAACACTTTGCAAGATAAGGAATGGTAATATAAGTATGATGCAGTCATCATATTGTATTCAAGTAGGTTTCATCTGCGAAACATCCTGAAATTCCAAAACGAGTAAAAATTGACCATAGGAATCGAAAGTAAATGATAGACTCTAGCAAAGACACCAGGCAAATTTACAGATGCCGGTTACTGTTTTGTGTTCAGATGAACAATATGCCAACACAGACGGTCGTTGGTGTTCAGCTCTACAGCGCAACCAAGACATTAAACAATCCGTTCTTAGGGAAAACTCGACGTTTTGCTGTATCCGTAAAACTTTGACATCAAGTTAGGGTGTTTGATTATTGGATCCATTACACAAAAGAACTATGATTCACTAGATTACTTGGTGTCATCCACTTAACTTCGCCTTACTCAGGGTCGGGACTGAATTTTTCATTTCTTAACCTTCCCACTTATCCACTGATGTATATGTTGTGCTCAGTAATTCAATTGGCTTTGTTGAGAATTCTTCAGTTTGTTCGTATATTACCCCCCTGAAGCCACAAATAGTTTCTCCCACAGCACCGTTTATTCTATTGGTAGCTGTTTACAGGCCCACATTCTTGGGGAGAAATCAGTTCGTCCATCAAAGCTGTCACAGATGGAATTATTGACATATGTGCGTACAGATGATTTCGTTGGAACTGGCATTTTGCCCTCAAGCTTCAGCTTCAAATTACCCAGGCTAGATCCAAATCCATGCAAAATAAAATGTCTCGATTATGAATGGTGTCTAATTGCATCTGATATTATAGCTAAATATTCAGTCTGTTCATATGTCGCACAATTTCTGAAATTATTTGAGTCGAATAGAATATTGCATTTCATGAATCGAGTTTGAAGTTTGCGAACTGGTTGGCAATTTGCAATCTACGTGGTTCGATTAGTGATATTTTACCACAGATTCCTTCACAAACCAAGCTATTCATATGGTAATTAGTGGCCTGCTTGATACCCTAAATTATAATCAGAAAAGCAAGCAGATTTGCATAAAATTAAGTGCTATTGATTGATTGCGATCAGCAGTATCACATCATTTAGATGTGGCTAGCAAGTACTACATGTTGCAATGAGTGGTATGCAACTACTCATCTCAACCAGAGAATTATATGTCCCTTTATGCAAATATGCATCTTTCATCAACTTTAAAAAACCACAATTATTATGATTTTTATTGGGTGCAGCCATTCCATTAAGTCACTTATATATCACGCACCTGGCTTTGAAGGTGCACCGTTGATTTTCAAGGTTTATTTGTTTGTTTCGTAAATCCTTCCTACATTCATTTTCGCATGCGAGTATTAAACCTTTCCGAGTATTCTGATTATTTTAATAACACTACAGACTCGTTCTCCTTTGAACGAGGTATTACTACATGCTCTTTATTCCTGAAGTTCCTTGAGGCTTCCACCTCCCCTTTTGTTAAGCTATATTTTCTAGTTTTCCGTATCTGGTTTGCGCTTACTGCCGAACATTTATAAATCGAGAAGTAGAATGGCGAAAATAACTCAAGTTCCGAGTTTCCTGACTAACCAACGTGACAATGCATTTCATTTCAGACACCACATTGTGGGTAGTGCAACACACTAATAACTCCGGGAGTAAGCACTAATAACTAGGCATCCAGGTGTGTAAGGTGATACGCTTCAGTTACGACAAACTTTACAAAATCCCACCTTAATTTGTGGCACATTCAATTAAAATTACCTGATTGAAGGAAACCAACAGACATGGGTTTCCAACATTTATCCCTATTAATGAATTTTAAAAAAGCGAAAACAACAGATTTTGCAGAATAAAATGTTACAATCATTTATTTTGTTGGTTTCTCATCAGCTGACTACATTCCAAAGTCATTATCATTATATCCACAGAAACGACTTTCACATACATGCACACAGTTCATTTTTAAACAAAACTCAGTCAGTCAACGGATGTATATAAAAATAATTCGTTTAACCAATAAACGATCTATCACTAACAATAAACGTGTACATTTGAGGACTGGCTGCAACACCAATTTCAGCTTTTCTATTTTTCTGTTAAAACGCTCTTTATTCGCGTTTGTAGCACAGCCATATTCGTTAGATCAGTAATCGAACAGTTTCCTCGGATAATCTTTACTTTTTGTCTACTCAAATATAATACTAACAGGAGTACACTTCCTTAATATCTAAGTCATTTTAATTTGCGTTTATCATCACTGCATACAAGTTAGGTAGACTACTGACTTATTGCGTAACTAGGTCAACACGTTCAGTAGCAGCTGGCAAAGTGCAACTTGTCAGCAGCACTACGAGCACACAAAGCATTTTGAAAGCAGACAGGAAAGTAAGTAATGCTGAGTTGCTCGCTAATTGTAATGATATGTATGATGCTCAGCATGATGAGCCTGTTGTCCACGGTTCGTCGTTTAGGGATAGTAAGGGTGTAAATTTAACTAAATATGAGCCTCGGTGTTTCGACGGAAACCCAGCTGACTATTTACAGTTTGTAAAAGAGTTTGAAGTCATGTTGAGTGGGCTTGCAATAAAAGATGAAATGAAGTTGATGTATTTGATGAGGTACTGCACTGGGGTTGCTGCAAGAGCTACACAGTGCTGTAAGGTTATGCCCCCCCCAAACGAAGGATATACTGAGGAGATGCGTATCCTGCGTCAAAGGTAGGGGATTTATTCGAGGCTGTTAAAGGCAACGGTAGTCAATTACAAGGTGACTCCGAGGCATTATCTGAGTTTTTGGATAATCTGACGGCTTACAAGAATATGCTGATTTCGATGAATTGCATGAGCGATCCGAACTCAAGTTCCGTCTTAGAGGTAATAGTGAGACGCCTACCTACTCGACTGAAAAGGAAGTGGGTGAAGATAAGCTCTCGTATAGAGGATGAAGGTATTGAGCCAAAGTTCGATGATATTCTGAAACTGGTAGAAGGTAGTGTCAATAAAGCTATGAGCAAGTTTGCCAGTATATTGCATCCCACCCCTAGAATAGAGAAGCCTGAGAGGAAACCGCACTCATTGATGACGAAAGGGTCTCAGAGAAGTGGATATCGAGAAAGCTTTATGGTGTCTAATAATCCATATAAACTTAGCGAGCATAACAGCCTCCTTGGGACATCCCCAACAGACAGGTTACAAGTTGCGAGACAAACACGGTTGTGTTTTACACGTTTGCAAAGAGTGCATACAAAGGCGAACTGTGAAGAAGTGACCAAGTTTAGTGGTAAGCTAAATGGGAAATCAAGGTCTGACTCCGAACCATGTGACAATAATGGTGCCGCGAAGAAGCATGTAGTTGCAACTGGTAAGCCATTGTTGAATAGAGTGTCACAGACGACACCGCAGTGTATGCAGAAGAAGAGAGTTACAGTTTCAGAGTCCATTTCTGACTGCACAAGTTTACAAGTTATTACTAGTCAGAGTGAAGATATAAAACCTTTAAGTATCTATAAAGAAGAACACAAGTCATCTACTGCTGTTATCAAAGAGTTTGAAAATGATGAAGTCGACCAGATAGACGACGGTAAATTGAATACTTGTGATAATGATCATGATAGAGCACATTTGTCTTTGGTTGATCATGATGAGATGAGGGGAATGCCTACTACTACTGAGTTGAATAAATGTTCTGTACAACTCGAACGTGAAGTAGAATTAAATGCAGATTCAGTTGTAGAAGGTATGGATATTTGTGAGACCGTCAGTGTAGTTGATCAGCGTATAGCCCACCTATCGACAGATGTTAAGGCTGAACAGGTTCTTATCATGAAAGATAGCAGTGGTGGTAATCTTGCAGTTTGACAACTTTGCAAAAGCCGAACAACAACAGCTTCTGATGCACCGCTAAGTTCATCAACTTGTGTCACTCAGTCGTCGTTGGTGTTGTCATCCACAATGACAGAGACGCCCATGAACTCAAGTGTCTTGTGCTATGACTATGATAGAATCGATGAATTTGAAAAGACGAAAGATATTGATCAGTTTAGTGAGGGTGAGCCAAGTGTGTACGAGAGGGTAATTGTTGAATCGACTTCCATGAATAAAGGTTTTCCAGGTTCCAATATACTATTTTAATGTTATTATCTTTGGTGTAAATCGCTATGTGCCTACACTTGGTTGGTCAGATACGTCGTGTGTTTGTTAGTCATCTATATTCTAGGATACAATGACATGGGCGTGTCACCGTTCAGAGTTGAGGATATAGATGATAGAAGGAGGTCAGCAAATGAACTCTGTGGCGATTTTCCAACCTAGGGCGTCAACCTGAGAGTGGGTTGTAGGCGTACTGCTGTAAGTCCTACAGTTCTTCATGGGTAGTTCGTCAAGGCAGAATCCACAACATTTGATGTATTGTTTGTACATATTTTTGTGTTAAATAATTGAGTGGGTTCCAATTAATGTAATTGTTGGTTAAGCTTGTTTGTGTACGGACATTCTTCAACTCACAATCGTCAACCTGAGAAGGGTTGCAGGCATACTGGTGTAAGTCCTGCAATTCTTCAAAGGAATTCCATCAAGACATGCGAGGTTATGTGTACTTTTTGTATATATGTGTGGTGTGTCATATCAATTGGTGTTTTTGGATTCACTGTGTTTACTTGTTGTTTTCGTCCTTTGTTGTATGATGTAATTTTAGTAAAAGTTTCGCCGAGCTTACTTCTGAAGTTGGTTCGAGTCTTCTACATCAGTGAATGAATTGATTCATGTTAAAGACAGCAGATGGGTCGTGTACGCCGAGGAGGCTAGTGCTGAGAATAGCATGCACCCGGGGATAAGGATTAGCTGTGGAATCAATGATTGAGAATGAATGTCTCTAGTTAGGCTGTGGTCCCACACGCCGGGGAGCAAGAGTGTAGACGACTGAGGCCTGCATACGTCACCGTTACTAGGACTGAGGCAGAATGAGTGACAAGCGATCACAGTGGTAATTGGTAGTGAATAGATAAGAGGATGTGAGAAGAGTATCATGAGGTGGTGCTATGGTTACGTTGCATTCTGCAAGAGTCATTCTAGCAAGTGGCGATTGTGTTGCAAGATGTCAAGAGGATGCCTTTAACTGGAAGGCCTAGGTCGTCGCCGACGAGTGAGATTGTGATGTGGGTATGCCTGTGGTGTGTTGGCTTTG